ATATGTTACATCTGTGTTGCAGTCACTTTTGTCCTCTGGCCAAGCATTAACAGTCATTTCTTTCAAGAGTCCCAAGGAATTGTTCTCTGTTTCTATTTCCTGAAGTTTCCTAGCTGCTATAGGGAGTGAGTTGACAATTAAGTATACATAAGTTTGCACTTCTGTCTCAAAGGACTTTTCAGGTTTTAGACTTATAGTTCTATGAGCCCATCTGCAGTAAATATAAATTTTCCTAGTATGCAGGTAAAGGCAACAATATTCCTACTCATGTTTGTATGTACCCAAAGAAGAGCAGAACATGAATTGTGTAGCCATCTTGATTTCTGGCAGACCTGTATCTTGGACCTGAATTACGTATGTAGCAGATGGACTACAAAGCTCTTAATAGTAGCTCATTTCAGGAGCTAATGGAATATAAAGCTATAAAAGTTATGGCAGTCAAAACCTGGACAGTACAATCCCAGAACAGCACCAGTCTTGTTCTTACACAAAATCACACTAAGGTGGCTTGATGACTTGTTCAGAAGGCAGCACACCAGCTATAGACATTAGGGCTGTGAGAAATGGCAGCACTCCATTTCGACCACTGTTTTGACAGAACAGTGTTTCATTTTGAATTTTGTTTCAATTCGAAACAGCTGTTCCATTCCGTTCCGTCAAAACAGGGTCGAAACAGCGAAACTGTTCTGACATTTCGCCCATAGGATATAATGGGGAAGGACAATACTGCCTATAACTTTGTCATTTCTGGCTTGATTTGGATGAACCATGCAGGATTGGTAGCCCCTGCTAAGGGCATCAAGTCTGCCAAGTTTTAAGGAGATAGGTGCAGGGGATTCAAGAAAACTGCACCCCAAAATCTTGCAAGCAAAACTCATGTCATGTGTATGTGTTAAGCGACAGTGGGGTCAAAACTGCAGGCATGCTAGAACCTGCTAAGGCCACAAAGCCTGCTCAGTTTCAAGGCGATAAGTGCAGGGGTTTGGGGGAAACTGGAACCCAAATTGTGTATCGAGCTGGTCCCTGATTGAATTATGATTGATTACGAAACAAAGTAGCTAGCGAGGATAAAGAGTTAGTGAGCAAGGTTAACACCTACAAAACTGCAGACTAAGGAGAGGAAAGAATCAACACAGAGCCAGGAACTGCTTCTGCCCCAAGGCAGAGACAGACAGTTGCACAAGCACCCATGTCACAAGTTTTGCCTGTCAGCAGCTAGGGGTGCAGGGCCCCAGAACCCCCCTACACCTATCTTCTTAACAGCTGGCAGGCTTTGTGGCCACAGCAGGGCCTAGCAGCCAGGCCTGCAGCAGTTTCCCCCCCTGCCCCATGCCCCAAGACAGACACAGTTGCACAAGCACCCATGTCACAAGTTTTGCCTGTCAGCAGCTAGAGGTGCAGGGTCCCAGAACCCAGAAACCCCTGCAAGTATCTTCTTGACAAAAAATATATATGTTTTCTCATCAAAACTTGTTTCTGTGAAAAAAGCAGATTATGTGACACTGAAATATTATAGGTTGCACAGGCTGCCTTCTGAGTTTTACTGAATTGTTTGTGTTGAGAAAGATGGTCAAAAAAGTAATTTTTTTTCACAAAAATGTTTTCACTAAAATTTAAGCAAAGGCTCAGTATCTTGATTCAAAATTGAATTTCTTTTGCTTAAAAATTTCCTTCTATATTATTAGAAAAATATTCAAAAGCCTTTTGACAAACCCAAAATGTAACACTTCATTTTAGGGCAAACAAAATGTTTAGTTTTGTTTTTGCCAACTAGCCAAAAGCATTAGCTATTTGTGTAACTGTACTTAACCTTTGAAAAGACCCCTCCCTGCACTGTAATGTGCAGACTTGCTCAAATGAAAGTGTTATCTTGGTCTATGCAAAGATGTGACCTTAGAGATACAAGAACCCTGCTTTATTAGATATTCCCTTAATTCCCTTTCCAGACAAATTGGAATCAAACAGACACTTTTAGAATAATAATATTTAATATTTACATACATTTGTAAAGCAACTGATTGCACAATGAATACAACAAATTGTAATGTAAGTGAGCAATATTGTAACTTGTAACAAAGATTGCAGAAGTGCATTTTCTTACCCTTTCTGAAAAGCAGACATGTCAGCCTGTCAGCGCAGGCACAAGCAGGGCTGGGTGTGCCATAAAGCCAGTAGTCAAGGCAGCCAAACCATCAATTACTGCTTGGGTTAAATATTTAGGGTTTCTATACAGTAGCAGAACCTTTGGACATGTCTGGCTTATGCTCTTTTTGTTTCTGAAAACATACTGTAATGTCATATATCTCTTTAGCTGTCTAACTGGGCATGTCTACATGCTTATGAATGTGTCATAATTACAGCACATTAAGTTTAGTACCTGTAATAACAGGTACTAATTTAATGAGCCATAATCGGCACTATTGCGCATTAGCGCAGACAAACACTTTTCAGGTGACATTAATGAGTCTTAGACTAAATCTAGTGAGCATTAGCACTGTTTTTGCCAGTTGTGCTAATGCACAGTAGAATAAGTCTTCTGCACATTAGCCCACTGATCCTTACCTGTTTACACACTCACACCACACTAGTTCTTATTTGGCTAAATAGAGGCCTGCAGGTTTGCCACTTAAGCACCTGAGTTTCATTTCCACTAGTAACCAAAGTGTGTATCTCAATATTCATCTGAAAATAAAAACCTGAAGAGGTGTTGTTCATTATGTTCTTTTCCTCTTTAAAAAGTTTCAATTGTTTAAACAGGGAATAAAAGTGATTTAATGTGATTTTAGTGACTAGTCATGAATTACAAGTTATGAATAATATTTTGTGAATAACTGATAAACTGCAATATGTCTGTCTAGATTCATTGACAAGTACTTATAAATAATGAAGAGAGCCATAGAAATCATGATCAGCCCAGGAACAATTTGCAAACAGAGAAGAAAAGGAAATCTTTGTAGTGAGAACTGCAGAAAATTTGGGGTCATATTGTTTATTTTCAGAAAAATGCAGTTTTACCTTGTCAGTTCACAAATTCATGTCATACTCAGCTACGTTCAATCATGAGGAAATAAAACTGAAATAGTCAAAGCAGTTTATTCAACTTTTTGAAATCACTTTTTGCCTTGAAACTTACTTACATTTATTTTTAAAAAATGGGCTAGAAAATCCCAGGAGCAAAATGAAATACTGTATTTACTGAAATACAGGAAAATGCTGAATAAAGATGACCCCCATGTAGACGTTGACCGGCTGGCTAGGGCACAAGGGTGCTTCAATGCTGGGGCTACCTATATTAGAATCTAATCTTGGAAAGTTGTAACTAATTTGGAAACTTTCCACATATAGAAGCTTATTATTTTTCAAATTAGTTATAACTTTCCAAGATTAGATTCTAATATAGGTAGTCCCAGCACTGAAGCACCCTTGTGCCCCAGCCAGCTGGTCAGCATCTACATGTGCGGTGCTGTGCATGAAAGGACTCCGGACCAAAGTACTACTTGTAAATACCCTGCTGCAGAGTTTATTAGTTTTCTGTCCCCTAACGGGGCCATATGTGTAGACTCTGAGAAGTTTACTATGTGTTAATTAGGCAACTGCGCAGTAAACATCTCATGTTGATGTGCCCAGTGTGACCTTACAGGGGGTGCATCTACACAAGATGTTTACTGTGGAGTAGATTAGGTTTGCAGTAAATGTCTTGTGTCTATGCATGCAGGGCTATTAGGCTGGAGTAAACTAATAAACTCCACAGCAGATTTTTATACTCTGCAGCAGTGCACATGTAGATAATGGAGGGACTAACTACGGCACAAGGTTTCAGTGTAGGGGCTGCCTGCCACCTAGCCCCACACTGGAGTACACTCCTGCCCCAGCCAGCCCCTCCGCAGCACATTGAACCAGGTTGGAGCAGCCCTGGGCTGGCAGGTGACCCCCGTGGTCCCGTAACAGCTGGGGCTGCTCCAACACAGCTCAATGTACTACAGTCTTGGGTGCACATTCAAACAGTGCACCCAGGAGCAATACATTCTGGGACAATAAGTGCCAGAGTTTATTGCTCTGCCCTAATTGCACAGGTAGATGCACACAGGGTAGGGTAATTGCTGGTTTCCTAGGGAGGGTGGAGTATATATATAGCACCAGTTGGAAGGCTGGTATGGGATAGCCAGAAGATTGGTGTTAATGACAGTAGTAGGATTTTGGATATTTGAGAAAGAGTAGTAGTAATGTGAGGTAACGGAGGAAGTGAAACTAGAAGGTGGAACAAGTGGAAGGCAGAGCAGCAGGGTAGTGGCAGAGAAGAGTAGAATCAGTAGGCCCTGGATGAGGGACAGAGGAGTCAGCAGAAAAGCAGCCAGACAGTGCAGAGGATAGAAGATAAGAGCATGCCCAGTAGTAAAGGTAAGATGAGTGAGAACTAGGGCAGGAAGAAAAGAAATAAATGGTAAAGTTGGTCCAAGCAGGTTCCACGTAGACAAGTGCTGTGGCACTTGGTGACACTGCTACTTCAGCTGCTGACTGTGAGGTGCCGCTGAAGTGGAACATAAGAAACAAAGGCCTAATTTCTCAGGTACCCAAAAGCCCTGCAGTCAAAAATGGTTTGTCTTTTAGTATGTACTCCAGGCCCTCCTGAACAGACAGCATATCATATTGCTGGTACCAAAAACTGAGGATGAGCATTCAGAGAAGACAACAGATAATTTGTAATCTCAAAGATCTAGAAAATCCAGCCCCTCCCATCCTGATCTCTTTATACAAAGTTCTTGCCTTTCTGAAACTCCTGACGGTTCTGGGTCCCTCCCCCCATATACAGTATGACACGCTGTCCTGATTTTACATGAATCCCTGCAGATCAAACAGCAAAATTCAATATCTTCCTTGTTTCAGGGGTTTTGTTTGTGAAGGGTGCTTGTGCCCAAAAGCTTGTAAAGAACAATTTTTGCAACTATTTCTGTTGGTTTAATAAAAGATATCACATTTACCCAAATAACTTTCCCTGCAGATCAGGTGCGTGTCACTGGCATTCTTTGCGGGTCTTTCACATTCCAGCAATATCTATCTGAAAGGGAATAGATTAAAGATTGTAAAATTAATTAAGTTCCGGAGGGATATCTGGCTCATTGCAGAAATTTTAATATAGTAAACATCAAAAACCACAACAAAACAAACAGCAACAAATAAGCACCAACCTCTGCTGGGAGGGAAATCAAAATAGAGAGTGACTTTTTTGATACAAGGGCAGAATTGAAAACCGAGAAGAGATTTTATGTCCATCCACAAGTAATGTGGTCCTGAGGGCCAAGCCTTCAGAGAGGGACTTTAATGCCTACATTTTCAAAAAATGACTGGTGGTAATGGATGGCTCAGCCATTTGCTGCCTAGCTTAAGACACCTTAAAAGGCCTCAGAGAGTAGAGAGGACTTGTTTTTTTCTGAGAATCAGGTCTCTTTTGCTCTTTCAAATTCGGCCACTGAAAACCAAAGCTCCCAAAATCACTCATCCCTTAAACATTTAATCCTAAATAAGTATGCCACCAGACTACTTATCTTCTTTCTGTCACAACCCAAAATTGTGGATTTTTTGATTGTGTGTGCTTCGGCACCGCTAAATTATGTTCCCGCCGAATTGGAGCTCTTTTGCACGACGGAGTGTTCTGTTGTTGTGGAGAACCCGCGTGCAGAAAAGTGCTTCCCGTCGTTCTGTAGCCTTCTTTGCATTGTGCATTACTTTTGCATTTAGTGATGCACGCTGCAAAGGAGTTTTCCAGCCATTTGTATTGAGATTTGAGCCACATTATTGGCCGGTCTTAATTTAGGCACACGTGGCGGCTAGCTATTGGCTTGCTAGC